CACTCATCTCTGCCGTCAGTGCGCGAATTAACTTCTTCTCTTCAGCTTGCTTTTGATTCCAAATTCTCCACTTAGGCCAAACGGGCTGCTTCACTTCGGCTTCTCTTGCCCGAAAGGGGACGAATACGATCCGTCCGAGCTCGCAAAACTCTCTTCAGAGTCTGAATTATTGGTCATCTCTACCGTCAGTGCGCGATTTTGTTTGATTCCAACTTCTCCACTTAGGCCAAACGGACCGGCCTCTTGCCCGCAAAGGGGGCGAATGAAATCCGGGCCCGCCGCCCGCGCTCAAACTCCTCGCCGTCCGCGGCGCAACTCTCTGATTTCTGTCGGTTGGGGTCCCGCTTTTATTGACGCAGTCAAAAACTGGGGTGGGGTCTGTTTCGGCGCCAGGTTTTCTTTGATAATTCTAAATACGTATCCACCCTTCTTATTTCTGGTTAGATTTTCCATTTTCGGTGATTCACTTTACTCCTACTTCCTTATTGTGTCTCTGAGGGCGTATACCCGCTTCTTCTTATCGGCTCCTCACACTTTCCTGACAAGTGCGTCGACCGATTCTCCTCGTGCGTCAGGTGACCGCTCTCGGCCAATTCCTGGTCGGGTATTTTCCTCCTCCTTCGTGCGCCACGTGATCCCATCTAGCCAATGGCGTCTTTAGTCTACAATCCGTGGCTTTGTTCTGGGGAAGAAACACCTTGCTTAAAAAAAAAAAAAAAATTCAAATTGCCCTTATCGTACGTGACCGAAATGACGCTCTCGGCTTTTTTTTAAACACGCGGTATTTGTCAAACAGTTTATCGCTAATTGATACGATCTAAGAAAGGGATTTCTCAGACTGCAAGCTTGATAACAAAAAATCTTAATTATCTCAAAAACATTTTCAGCCAACATCATCTTGTGGCTTTTTTTCAATTCTGAATTGTCTGGGTTTTCGTATCAATGGTTTGCCTGCATATCCTTAGATAAACTTCCCACCTGTTACCTATCATATTTTTTCCATTGTCTCTAAACTTTATTTCTTCAACCAAATTGATAACAAATATTTTTCGTGGACACGGAAGTTTTGACCTGGATATCTTCCAACATCTGTTATGTTCAATCGTGTGTGTGCTCGCCTATGACCTTTTTTAGTATTATAATTTTTTCTTTCTTTTCTTCTTCTTCTCTTTCTTTCCCAGATCGCCTGAACGCAATTAAAGAATTATTCTCAAACCCAAATATTTTTCAGCTCTAAATAATTATCAAATAGTTGACAAACCGCAAAAAAACAAATCATATATTTATGAATATTTTTTTCAGCCTGCCAACTATGCATGGTGCCACATATATATATATATATATATATATATATATATATATATATATATATAAAAAGAACGAATAAACATAAAAATGTCTTAAAATAATTGTCCATTTCATATATATATATATATATATATATATATATATATATATATAATAGCATCCCACTTGTATTCGAGAATACCCGTCTGATAGGGCGGCTAACAAATCCCTATTGCATACGATCGCTCAGGCACATTTGTGTTTGTTCAACACACACAGAGCCCACCTGACGTTTATACTGCTAAGATGTTGAGCAGACCTTAGTTCCAGTTTCTGGGAGAAAGCATGTTATCTAGTGTGATCAACAATATGCCACCTACAATCATCAAAATTTAGATGCAATATCAATCACCATCTTCTGTCTTTCTGAATCATGTTTCTTCATTGTTCTTTCTTCTCACTAAAGTTTTCTCAGCCTCTTCCACTCCCAATAACCCCATGCGTCATAGTGGCATTATCGCCTTGCTTGGGATAAAAAGTTTTAAAAAATGCCATAGCCTGGTTTGATCTGAAATTTCATGTATCATTTAGGGAACTGATCATCAGAGATGCCCGTCAATAATGTGCCTATCATAATTCTCTTAAGAATATTGCATTCAGTCGAAAAACGGTGACACCCTCGTATTTTGAGCCGACCTGTTTAGCACCCTTTTTTTTTTCTTAATAATTACCATTGCATCGAACATCAAGTTTTGGTTTATTTGCTGCAATCTCGACACCTGACAATAATTTTATGACGGCTTTTCGTGAAGAACAGCGCCGCCATGTTTCTAATTCTCTGGGGGCGATACCGTCAACACCTGCTGAGAAGAAGAAGAAAATTGCCTACAAAGAGAATATCAAACTGTTCACTTTATTATGATTACCGTTCCTTCTTCAAACGTTCAGCCGCTTAAAACTTTCAAATCGGTGAAATGCACCTTGCATCAAATGTGCAGTCATGAATTGTAAAAACAAATACAAAGCAAGCAAGGAATGTCGGTGAAAATGACAAGATTGATTTTATAGTAAAATGTCGAGACATTTTTCAGTAGTATTTCCCCTTTCCACGTATGGAATAAATTACAATATTTAACTATATCACGTGCTTTGCGTTTATCCCCATTTAAGCAGAAACACACACAATAATAATAATATATATATATATTCCTTAATATAATGGTTCTGTTATATTACATCTAGCAAGCAATATGCGACATTTGTTGTGTAATATATATATATATATATATATATATATATATATATATATATATATATATATATAAAAAAGGGCTTAAACACTAATATTCCATCGTCATAATTTATTCCATTGGAATCGTAAATACGATCCAAATATATATATATATATATATATATATATATATATATATATATATATATATATATATATATATATTATATTAGGCAGCATATATTATAAAGAGATAATCATATATTAGCAAGATTGATGCAATTAATGGCAAAATTTCTTCGCTAACAGACTTAATATAAGCATTAAACTGCTAACAATCCCTTGAATGATGCGATCCTTATGCATAAAATTGTTGTCAGATGGATCTGGTGTATTTTTTAGAGCAACAAGTACTTTCAAGAACTTCATATGCTCATCATCAGGCTGTAATTTTTTCCTTTAAAATGAAAACTCGAGGACGAAATAAATGTGTTGTAGACCGAAAGATGTTTTTTTTTAAGAATATGTTATTTATTAATATTTATATAATATGGAACGTGCAAGTCGCAACGCTAAATTTCAAATATTTCAAGTGAGAAATTTTTGGAGTCTGTCTATATTTCTGAGATGAGGTATTATGTACATTATTTACATTATTCGGACTATTGTCCTCATCTTTGTCGCCATATTTATTACAATGTTTCGGCCGTTGTACGCTTCGGCCTTCTTCAGGTGGTCGGAATGTCGAACTGAACCCTTTATTTCGCTCACTGGGGTAGATTTTTCTAGTTCCACGTGCCATGTTCAATGGATGTCAGTTATCAGTTATCTCCTGTTAATTTCCCTCTGCATGTTCACCACTGCCTTAACCGTGTATTGAACACATGACACAGTGGATAAAGGCGTTGGTTAGATCCAGTTACAGGACCCAAGGAGTGTGAGTTTTGTTTTATCGGTAAATTTGCCAAAATGTATATTAACTTTTATTTTGCATTATTATTCTTTCGAAAGTAATTAAAAAAAATAATATAAAATAAAGTTTATATGAATTTTGGCAAATGTACCAAATAAAACAAGCAACAAACGGAAATTTGAAACATATATATATATATATATATATATATATATATATATATATATATATATATATATATATATACCAGTTGTGGGTATGTGTTTTGTGTGTGTGTATATATATATATATATATATATATATATATATATATATATATTTCCGATTTTGGGGGGATTTGAGGTCTGATGAATTGGATCGTGATTACGATTCCAATTTAATAAATTATAACCATGGAATGGAATATTAATATTTGAGCCTTTTATATTATATTCTTGTTCTGTTCTGGGCATTGAGCTCTACCTGGATTCTATTCTCTTGAAAATTTACACACACACACACACACACACACACACACACACATTGACCACTAATATTATCTCTCTCTCTCTCTCTCTATATATATATATATATATATATATATATATATATATATATATATACGTGTGTGTGTGTGTGTGTTTGTGTAGTAGAAATGTAACAGCCTGTATCAATTTTTCAACAACTGTCACAGTTAACTTTCTAATTCTCACACGATCTGAGTCTATACACTGGAGTTGAATAAGATTGACGAAGTTTTCGTCGGTTGAAATAGATCTAACCCACCCCCAATATGACGTAATTTGGGATTTCGCTGTGTAATTCTATTCATTGGCTCTGTTATAATAAATACATTGACCCCCTTTTATGGATTAGTTTTAATAATCTTATATTACTAGGATCCACTTGGATTATATACCAACGGATTTATTACCTTTACTATATATATATATATATATATATATATATATATATATATAGAGAGAGAGAGAGAGAGAGAGAGAGAGAGAAATGAACAGATTGTGATAGATATGAACAGGATAAGATAGATAGATAGATAGATAGATAGATAGATAGATAGATATACACACAGGCTTCTTATTACGAAATTAAGATTGTGCATTTATCAGAGATCTCTGTGGACCTTGTTGATTCGTAAATAATTTCTTACATTTTCACAGAAGCCGTCTAACTAACTCGATATGTGGATGTTTTCAACTTTCTATCATAATAAACATCACCTTTTATAAAATATGTGTCTTTTGAATAATGAAAATAGTTGAAATGTGAAATTTTGCTGGCTTCCAAGCATTTTTCCATGGCCTTTTTTTTAATACCACTGTGCTTAAAATGTTCGAGCATCAACCATACACCATTTACAAAAATCCAGTAATTTGAATTCTGGTCATCAAATATCATAAAATTTATTCAAAATATGTTACTTCTAATCACTCACAATTTTTTTTTGTGCGCAGTAAGAAGCAGAGTTGTATATTTAAATACCTTTTATTCTAAACTTTCTTTCTTTTTATTCCATTGGTCAGCATGTACCTTTAAAAATTAGCCATTTTAAACATCTCTTCTTTCCAGAAGTATCTACCCTTTTCATTTTCTTTCTTTCTCTCTCTCTTTCTTTCTCTCTCTCTCTCTCTCTTTCTTTCTCTTTCTTTCTCTCTCTCTCTTTCTTTCTCTTTCTTTCTCTCTCTCTCTCATTCTTTCTCTTTCTTTCTCTCTCTCTCTCTCTCTTTCTCTCTCTCTCTTTCTCTCTTCTCCAACTTCTTTATAGCCGTCTTCATTTCGATTTCTATTCTTTAACCCTCTCACCTCATCTTTAAAGTGGTTCTTTGTTTTTGGCTGATCCTCATTTTAACTTTTATTCTCTCGTTCTTTTTCCCTTTCTTCCATTTGTCTACACCACCCTCCGTTTTCCAATCCTACATCGTCTTTTTATTGCTGAGATTAACTTTGTAGTTAATTTCACCGTTATCCTCAATCTACTCCTCATTTCTTTCTCCTTTTCGTCTTTCCCACACCATCAGTTGTTACGCCTGAAGCAAACGGATCACTTTACCGTCAGCAAGGAATCGCTTCTCCAATATGGCGTTGATTAATCTTGTTCCAGCATGGCGTTAAGACCCTTTGAAATGCAATTTTATCACACCTACTGGAAGAAAAATCAGCATCTATAATAATAAAAATGATAATAATGTGAAGAACAAGAAATAGAATACAAGGAACATGAACAAGATGAGGGTGAGAATGAAGAAGGAGAAATTATATCTTTCCAAGTGAGATAAAATGGAACGAACCTTAGAATTAACGGTAAAGAATGCGCCAATAAAAACAGGATTCTGGACAAATCAGTTGTCGCCATCTTTCTTTTGATCCGTAATGGATGAACGTTAGTTATTTTGTCACTTTTAAAAACATTTTCCTTGGATTATTTCAACCAAGTGCCTCACGCTATTTTTGATTCTTCAATTTATTTCTTCGATATAAAAAAATATTGTTTTTAAAAAATTCACTCCAAAGCTTATTTAATGAACTTCTTATCTACGTCAACACTGTAATATATAATATTACACCCACACCTCAGACACACACACACACACACACACACACACACACACACACACATATATATATATATATATATATGTGTGTGTGTACACACAAGCACAGGCTGATTGAAATGTAACTCCTTATTTTATGTATGATTACCTATCCCATCTATATATAATTCTTACGAGACTAGAGAGTCCATCATATATAAAATAGGGAGTTACATTTATATATATATATATATATATATATATATCACTGTATCAGAGCTAATCAATGTGCCTAGACGTCTGGTTGGTTCTAGCTAGGCGCAGAAGCCAAGCTGGCTTGGAGTCAGTCGGAGAATCTATCCTAAGCCGTTGGCGCAGGGCAGGGTTATATATATATATATATATATATATATATATATATATATATATATATATATATATGGTCATAGAAATCAACAACCAGCGGCGTAATCAGTATATTCTGGCGATTTAGATATTGATAACTTTAATCGATAAATATAGCATAACATAAAAATATATTTTATCATATATATATATATATATATATATATATATATATATATATATATATACACGTATATTTTTTTTTCTAAAGAAGGAATGGATTTTTTATTTATTAATCCGAAAATTTTTTATCACTTTAAATGTTATATTCAGTGGATACTCATATTTGTGTAGACGCCCCATTTATTTATTAAGCAATATATTTATTTTCATCTGCCGTCGTGAATATTCGGTAATCTTACTTATTATAAAACGCAGATTGTGTGTGTGTGTGTGTGTGTGTGTGTGTCCGTTCGTTTATATATTGGATAGGATTTCCTACATTTCTCAACCGATTTCAACAAAACTTCACAGGACTACGTAAAATTACCTTGCGGTGGTTCTGACAGTGCTAAATTTAGAAAAACACAATTGTTTTTGCACGAAATCAATTTAAAAACACGATTAAGAGGCATCACGAGAATGAAAGAGGGATAACTCATATCAAGTTTTAATTATTATAAAACCCAGGCTGTTTGTGTGTATGTTCGTTTATATATGGGACCGGATTTCCTACATTTTTCAACCGAATTCAACAAAACTTCACTTTTTTTTTTGCCAAGTAGTGTTTCTTATTGTCTTGCACACATTTTTCTTTATCTTTACATTCAGAATGCTTTGAAAATTCCATTTACAAGACAATTGTTTATAATAAAATTCTATTCAATCGGTAGACTCGTAACGATTTTTTTTTATTAAGCGTTTCACCCCAAGCAAGGCGGAAAGCCACTAAGACGCAAGGGGTTACAGAAAATTTGGAGCAAGGTCAGATCGGAGTGATAGAAGAAAGAATGAGAAGAGTAGTGGATAGATCGACGCAACTGGGGATACAGAGGCCAGTGAGAGAGAGAGAGAGAGAGAGAGAGAGAGAGTACCGGAAACCCCTTCTTAAACAAGAAACAAGACGTAAGCCTCTACTCATGTCCAAGGGAAGGTGGGAGTGTGGACCGGGCGGTAGGAAAGCCTACTTACTCCTATTACATATAACACATACAACAACAACAAAAACAGAAGGAACGATGAGAGGGGGAGGTCATTTGCAAAGAGTCCTGGCTGACACTTGCATTTACCCTTTCGCAACATTAAGTTTTAAGTCCCATTGTCTATTCTAAAAAGAAATTGAAGAAAATAAGATTATCCGGATTTATTGCCATGTCATAATAAATGCCCCAACATACGTGGCAGCAAGTGTTAGTCCGCTTTCTTCCTCATGATATCAAGTGAATGTACAGCTTACCTTAAGTCCAAGCATCGACCTGGTGGGGGGGGGGATCAACGGCCAATCCACCGCCCTCACCAAATAGTGGGATTGGGAGGCATGCTTTCAATAAAAATTAAGAACAACAGGTGAAAGAATGGTGGCAAAACCAATTCCATGTTCAGAAATTTTATCAAGCAAGATAGGCGGCCACTAAATCATGAGAATACTGACGAGACACTTTCGCATCTAGCCAAAGACATTCAATTTCCCCCTTTTTCTGATTTTTCTTTCGAAACGGGACCATTAGATAGGTTAGAATGATTAGGACAAAATGTGTAATTATGGGCAAACACACTGACGAGTAGGGGAAGAAAAAAATACAATAAAATAAAATTTCAACATTAAAAAAAAAATAGAAAAATAAAGAATTAAAGAAAATCGACAAAAAGATTAAAATGAGTCTTCGGTACAGCGAAATTATACTTACACAGGGCAGCGAGTGTTTGTCCGCTTTCTTCCTCATGATAACAATGAAAACAATGTCTTTGTTTGAGTTTGGGTTTGAACAATTCGTAAAAAAAAAAAAAAAAAATAATTAAGACACGCGTGTCCGTCAACCTTAAACAATAACCTTTGTCAATTTTATTTTTCAGTCTTTAGGATGGTCGATACTTGATCTATCTCTTACTGTTACATCCCTGGGCAACGCCGGCTTCTACTGCTAGTTCTTAGTAAAGTTAAATCTGCCTCCTTAAAAGGTTCACCCTACGAAGAAGCTATGATGGGAGGGGTTCGCTTATAGGCACTGTCCAGGATATTTTATTTTATTTTATTTTTTTTTTGTTCCTTTCCCCTGGTACTTTATAGCATCTTAACGAATTACGAGGACGTTACATATTGGTTCGTACCCGAGTGATCAGAATGTTCGCCTTACGACAATATGTTTGAATCTCAGCAGGTTTGATTGAACCAGATAGGTGATTTCTTATCGACCTGGGAAGGAGATCCCATCGTACGACACCAGTTGGAAGCGCCTGAAAATTTCATCATTGGTTACGTCAAGCATTAGGAATTACATTGCGTAATCGTCGACGGCAGTGCCAGCTCAATTTTAAAAATCTCAGGTTTTTAAACTTCCTGCGCTTATTCAAAATGCATATCACTCCCAGAAACTTTAACTTGTGTCCACTCAGCATAGTTACATTGTAAGCCACAGGTCAGTTCTGTGCGTTTTAAACAACGGCGCATATATCTGATCAGCCGTTTGCGAGAGGGACTTACTAGTCGCTCAAGTAGACAAGTGTGTTTGAAAACGTGAAGCCGTCATTACAGACACAGTTCTGTCGGCTGCTTTCTCGTATTATCAGCAACGTCATTGTAATCATATAAAAAAATTCTGGTGTCACAAATAAGATGAAGATATGAGCAACAATAATTTGGCTTGTTTACTTGTCGGTTGGCTTAAAACCTAAATGTCTACGTGTTGATTATGCTGTTTAGATTGAAATGTAAAGAAAAATATGACCAATAGAAAATTTCAAAACTAGCAAGCATTCCGTTCATCATTAAATAATAAAACAACACATTTGTGTCAGGCGTATACTAATTTCTTCACAAAGATTTCAATCTATTTTTAACAATGTTACAAAAACAAATTCTTTAAGGATTATGCTAATGTTAAATTTTAAGACATTTTTATGTTCATACATTCTTTATATAGATACATATATTTAAGTAAATGCTCTGTTTATATTAAACAATATTAAACAACATTTACCGGCATGAATATCAGAGAAATTGTTATAGAAAATATGCGTCATCCGACAGGAATCGAACCTGTATCTTATACGGAACCGTCACGTAGTAGCCTGACGTGCTATTACATTCAGGCCGGTAAATGGTATTAATACTGTTTATTATAAACAGAGCATTTACTTAAATATTTGTATCTATAAAAAGAATGTATAAACATAAAAATGTCTTTAAATTATTGTCGGACTTTGTCCAATTCATAATGTTAAATGTACAAGATTTTATAATCTATCGAAATTTTACGTTTACGTTGACTCTCTAAAAAGCTAGAGAGTTATTCCAAATAGAGACTTAATAAATGGGATTTTGTTAAGAGCCTAAAAACAATAGATTATCAGGATATGTAGAACAGAAGTCTGTTCCGCCAAGCATCGGCTCATGAGAGGAAGCTGTCCGAATGGACCTTCCTCCTTACTAATGGTTTCCCTTTGTACATGGCATAGAAAGTTGTAGCTTTAAATGTCTGAATGGGTGGAACGTGGGCATGTTGAGGAAAATACTCCCCGGCCCAAAGGGTCGAGTAAACCCTTTGAATTCTGTCAAGTCTGAAAAAGAAGAGTTGAACAGCTTTAACCCTGATATGACCGCTGTTCACTAATTTGGGTTCTGATCTGACTCTTGTTAAGATAGATCATGACACGTGGAATCATGGACAGG